TTCGGCTCAGGTCATGATCTCAGGGTCCTGGGATCAAGCCCCGCATCAGGCTCCCTGCTCAGCGGAAAGCCTGCTACTCCCTCTCCCACTCCCCCTGCTTGTGTTCCCTCTCTCCTGCCTCTCTCTCTCTCGCTGTCAAATAAATAAAATCTTTTAAAAATAAATAAAAATAAATAAATAAAATCTTTAAAAAAAGAACAAATGATCACCAGTATACAGGAGGACATTAGGACAGACTTTTGGTAAATACTAGGGAATTTAACATAGGACTCACACTGAATTTTGTTAATTAAGGTTGTTTTTAAAATATCTCAGATTGGGGCACCTGGCTGGCTCAGAAGAGCATTCGACTCTTGATTCTGGGGTTGTGAGTTCAAGCCCCACATTGGGTGTAGAGATTACATAAATAAGTAAAACTTAAAAAACAAATAAATATCTCAGATTATCGCCCTCCTAACACTACTTTTAGTAGTATAATACAAAATATATGTTGTAAAAAATTCACCTTGATGCCATTCATATATTTTGGGGGTTCCCTATTTCTCCCCCACTCTTCTTCTGAACCTCTGCTCAGATGTCCACCATATCACTTGTTTGAAGCCCCAATATTACGAATTTTCCCCAGCCTGTCCTTCTCTTCCCATGGTCACCAAAGAAGGTGGTCTCCAAAGCTTTTTTACACACTGAATGTTGCCCCAGCACAGGCTGAGACTTTAGGTCTGAAGAACTGTTTTCTGTAATAAGTTATCCTGATGCTGTTCCAGGCCATACCACAAGGGGTGACTGGTCCTTTGCCTGTGACTAAGTCCCACCTCATCTGAACAGCCTGAGTTGCCTTACTGCATAAGTACTTAGAACCTGCTTCCACCAAAGTACTTTCTCCCTTTTCTATTTAATACACCTGGTCTGGGTCCACTTCTCCAGCCCTCATTGTTCCAGCAGCATCCACATATACCTCACCTCATTCAGTTTCAGTCAAGACAGTATTTTCTTACTGTCCTATTTGTCTTAATTCAAACTTTCAGCACTGGACTGCTTCCTATGTCTTCTAAGGTATTGTGCCCAAACATTTAAATATAGAAATATATATTTTTATACATATGCCTTTCTTTTTTAAAAAAAAATATTTTATTTATTTATTTGAGAGAGTGAGCAAGAGAGAACAAGCAAGCATGAGCTGGGGAGGAGCAGAGGGAGAGGGAGCAGCAGACTCCCCACTGAGCAGGAAGCCTGATGATGGGCTCAATCCTGGGACTCTGGGATCATGACCTGAGCCGAAGGCAGATGGTTAACTCACTGAGCTAACCAGGGCCCCTGCCTTTCCCTTTACTGATTATTTATATGTGCATAAGATTTTAGGATTTTTAAGTTACATGGATATTTAATATTATCTATAAAATTCCTTTTATAGATACTCCAGGATGGTAAAAGGCACACTGCAAACTACTGATCACAAAGAGTGAGCATCACACAAAAATTAACTCAAAATAGATCACAGGCCAGGGGCGCCTGGGTGGCTCAGGCAGTTGGGCGTCTGCCTTCAGCTCAGGTCATGATCCTAGGGTCCTGGGATCGAGCCCCACGTCAGGCTCCCTGCTCAGCAGGAGCCAGCTCCTCCCTCTCCTCCCCACTTGTGCTCTCTCTCGCTATCTCTGTCACTATCTCTCTCTCTAATAAATAAATAAAATCTTAAAATAAAAAATAGATCACAGGCCTAAATATGAAAGCTGAAATCATAAAATTATTATTATTTTTTTTTTTTTAGATTTTTATTAACAGAGAGAGCAAGCACAAGCAGGGGTAGTGGGGGAGGGAGAAGCAGGCTCCCCACTGAGCAGGGAGCCTGATGCAGGGCTCGGTCCCAGGACCCTGGAATCATGACCTGACCTGAAGGCAGACGTTTAACCAATTGAGCCATCCAGGCACCCCTGAAATCATAAAATTCTTAAAAGAAATACAGGCATAGATTTTCAGAAACGGGTACAACACAAAAGTACAAGTGACCAAAAAAAAGTAGGTAAAACTGACTAATCAAAATTAAAATATTTGCACTTCAAAGAACTTCACTAAAAAAGTGAAAAAACAAAAAACAAACAAAAAAAATCACACACAACCCTTGGAGAGGTGCCTGGCTGGCTCAGTTGGAAGATGATGCGACTCTGAATCTCAGGATCATGAGTTCAAGCCCAACATGGGCTGTAGAGATTACTTAAATAAACAAAACTTAAAAAAAAAATAGGATAAAATATTTGCAAATTATATATCTGATAAGGCACATGTACCCAGAATAAATCAATCTTTTTTCCTCTTTAAAGATTTTATATATTTATTTGGCAGATAGAAAGAGCGAGAGCAGCAAGCAGAGGGAGAGGGGAGAAGCAGGCTCCCCGCTGAGCAAGGAGCCCAACTCGGGGCTCGATCCCAGGATGCAGGTGGCTCAGTTGGTTGAAGGTCTGCCTTTGGCTCAGACCCTGGGATCAAGGACCGTCAGGCTCCCTGCTCAGTGGGGAACCTGCTTTTCCTTCTCCCTCTTCCTCTCCCCTCCCCTTGTGCTCTCTCCCTCTCTGGCTCTCTCTCTCAAATAAATAAAATCTTAAAAAAAAATAAAAGATCAGGGGCACCTGGGTGGCTCAGTCGGTTAGGCATCTGCCTTTGGCTCAGGTCATGATCTCGGGATACTGGGAAAGAGCCCCGGCTCTCTGCTCAGCGTGGAGTCTGCTTCTCCCTCTCACTCTCACTCTGTGTGTTCTCTCTCTCTCATATAAATAAATGAAATCTTTAAAAATGTAAAAGATCAATAACCCACTTAATAAAGGGGCAAAGGATCTGAATTGATAGTTCTCCAAAGAAGATACACAAATGGCCAAATAGGCACAACGAAAAGATGCTCAACACCATTAACTATTAGGGAAATGCACATCAATACCACATTGAGATACCACTTCACATCCAGTAGGATGGCTATAATTGGTTCCACTCCTAGGTAGTTATCCAAGAGAAATGAAGACATACATCCACCAAAAAAAAAAAAAAAAAAATACATGAATATTTACAGAAGCATTTTTCATAATATCCAAAAAGTGGAAGCAACTCAAAAGTCCATCTACTGATGAACTGATAAACAAAATGAGGTATATTCATACAATGAAACATTTCTCATTCATAAAAATGAGCTAGGTACTGATAGATGCTACTCTACTACACAGGTGATCCTTGAAAACATTATGCTAAGTCAAAGAAGCCCCCCAAAAGGACTATATATTGTATGGCCATTTATATGAAATGTCTAGAATAGGCAAATGCATAGAGACAAAAAGTAGATTGATTGTCTAGGACTTGGAGGGATAAAGAGATGAGAAGTGACTGCTAATGGGCATAGGCTTTGTTTTGGGGGATAATGAAAATATTTTAAAATTGATAGCGGCAATGGATGCACAACCTAATGAGTATACTAGGGAACAATGAATTGTATACCTTAACGGTGACTTGTACAGTATGTGAAATACATCTCAATAAAGCCATTTTTTTTTTAAATAAGGAGGCAGGGCACCTGGGTGGTGCGACCGATTCTTGGTTTCGGCTGGGGTCATAATCTCAGAGTCGATGAGCCCTACCTCGGGCTCCATGCTCAGTGCAGGGAGTCGGCTTGAGAGTCTCCCTCCTCTGCCCCTCCCCCACACGTATGTGCACCCGCACTCATGCGCGCGCTCTCAAATAAATAAATCGATCAATCTTTAAAAAGGGGGGGGCTTTGAGTCGGCTGGGGTCAGAACCACTAGTTCAAACTACCTAGAATGTATCTGATACCTTAAAACTTCACAAGAGAAATAACAGTTTTATAGGGATGTGCCAAACTTGTGTAGAATTCTATTCCCAGGCACTGACCTCTCAAGGGCTTTATCCCCCGGTTTCAACAACCTGGCAGAGGGATCACTTGGGCTAGGTGCCTGGACCTCAGCGGTCCAACCCCATCCACATGGTTCCTGCCGTTTCTGTGGACCACCCATTACTTGTTTAAGTGATCCATTCTTTAACAAAAATAGTTTCCCACCAACTTTAGCTCTGTCCTAATAAAGTTACCCACCTGACTACCAATTGTGATAAAGTGTAACTCCATTTTGATGAATGACTGCTACCAGTTTTCAAGCCTCCCCCTTCTCCTACTGCCCCACATGTGGGCAAGCTAACTAGAAAGCCTGGGTGCTTTCTCGTTGGTTTTAGCAGGACGTTCACACCATGCAAGCCCCAATAAACGACAGGCCACCCTCATCCCAGTTCCACTCTCTGGTCACAATTAAAGCCCAGCCAGTCTCCTTTTCCTGATCTCTCAAGCTATTTTTGGATCACCATGGGAAGTCGGCCCTACTCTCCCAGGAGTCTTACTAGGTGAGTAATAAACCTTTTACTCTCTTGGGAGGCAGGTATGTGTATAAAATGTAAAAAAAAAAAAGGGGCGCCTGGGTGGCTCAATGGTTAAGCGTCTGCCTTCAACTTGGGTCATGATTTTAGGGTCCTGGGTTCAAGCCCCACATGGGGCTCCCTGCTCGGCAAGAAGCCTGCTTCTCCCTCTCCCACGCCCGCTGCTTGTGTTCCCTCTCTCGCTGTGTCCCTCTCTGTCGAATAAATAAATAAAATCTTAAAAAAAAAAAAACAACTTCACAAATCAATAATAAGGTGTTTGAGAGGGAGCTCTGTAAAATCCGTAACTTACTTTAAATGTTCCCCCCCCCCAAAAAATTAATAGTTGAAAAGATGGACAGAGGAAAATAAGTGGGATAAAGCAAGTATAGATGTTAACGGGCCGGTATAATGTCGCACAAGTACTTCACCTTCTACGTATGAGAACTTTTTCCATGACCTACTGGGGGAAGAGGAGTTGAAACAATGAACGACTACACCAAGGAACATGAAAATCAAACAGCCGCTAAACAGGTGCAAACCCGCGGCCCTCGTTGGGAACAGCAGGAGCTGGCTGCAGCGACTGGGTGGAGGGAACAAACGGCATGACACCTGCCGGGCTCCGCGGGAAATGGCACAGTCCACTGGCGCAACGCGGCCACTGCGGCCCGAGACCCGCCGCCGGGGACCCACCCACTGCGAGGCCGAAGAGCGGGCGACCCAAGGTCCGCCACAGCGGCCGGGCAGGGCACCCCCCCGGGCCAAACGATCCCTGCGAAAGGACCGGCCGGATACGAGGGCGGAACCCGAGTGACGCGGCCGAAAGAGCTGAGGCGTCCTTACCCGCCGGGGGAGTCCACATCCGCGGCAGAGGCGGCGTCCTTAGTCGCCGGGGCAGCCGTGCCCCGGGCCGACCCGCGCCCCTGCGAGCCGGACGCGCCCACTCACCTCGTGAAACCCGCCCGCGGTCGCGCCGCACACGCCACATCAGGATTCGGAGGACCTCTCCCCGCCTCAGCATACCCACCTACACACACACACCTCACCGTCCCGAGGGAAAGTGAGGCACCGACAGGTCGAGGGGCGCGGTGGGACTCACCTCTGGCGGGCAAACGGCACAGCCCGAGGCGGCGGCCATGTTGGGGGCGGGTGCGCGTGCGCGCGCCGGGACCCGGATGTGTGCGTCCCAGGAGGCTCCGCGGCTCCGTCCGGCCGCGGGCAGTGGAAGCGGGTGTTTCCGATCTCCCGCCGCTGGCAGGGTGGTGTGGGGGCGTACCCCGCCGCCCGGGCCGGGGCTGGAGGGGGTCCACACTCGACCCCGCCCGACCTGCGTCCACGCCTCGCTCGGCCCTAATCCCACCCGCGCTGGTCGGCGGAGGGAGTTCTCCGGTAGAGCCGTCCCTACTTTCCCTTTTATTTATTCACCCAGTTATTTATTGATCTCCATAGATAGGGACTCACGGGTAATTTTTTTTCTCCTGTGGTTTTAATCGGACGCCATCATTATTGTACAGCCTTATTTTTAATTATGGCATGTTTTATAATTTTAAATAACTTTAACTATACCATAATTTATTATTTATTTCTGGGAAAAATACTTTAAAATTCAGGTAAGTACACCTCCATATTCGTTGACAATGTAATTATTTACTTAATCGAAACGAGCTACACAATTTTTTAAAAGATTTTATTTATTCATTTGAGAGAGAGAGTGAGAGAGCACAAGCAGGGAGAGTGCAGAGGCAGAGGGAGAAGCAGGCTCCCCACTGAGCCGGGAGCCCCACGCGGGGCTCGATCCCAGGATCAGGGATCATGACCTGAGCTGCAGGCAGACGCTTAACCGACTGAGCCACCCAGGCGCCCCAGCCTACACAATTTTGAATTAACAAGACAGCTAAGTAAGGATTTTAGATAGAATATTAATAAAAGTCAGTGAGTGCATTATGGAAAACATACTAAAAATTAGTAATAAGTAGTGACAAAATATGCTCTGAAAGGAAATACTTGTTCTCAGTTTTATGTATGTGTATAAAATAATTCCAATAACAATTCGGGTATAAACAAAAAAATAATACTCCCACCATCCAGCATTAACATTGGGGAAGATTATGCGACCCCCAGAGTAGCTCAGGCAGGGTTTGAGGCCCAGCATGCTAGGTTGGGATCCTCCAGCACAGCCTGGGAAAGGGTGAGGAGATGATTCTCAAAGAATCTCCTCCAATATATTTTTTAATTATAAAGGGGAAAACAGTACCTTGACAGTGGAGAAACCTGGCAGGCACCACCTTAACCATCACCTTTCTGGAATTCTTGTCAAAAATTCACCATTTCAATCTAATCGTGACAAACACCAGACAAACCTAAACTGAGAGACATTATAGAAAATAACGGAGCAGTATTCCGCAACGGCAAAAGTGTCAAGGTCATGAAAGACAAGGAATTGTCTAAGGAATTGCCCCAGATTAGAATAGACGAAGAAGACACCATAAATGAATGCAATGTGGGATCCTGAACAAAAATGGACATTTGGCGATAAACAGAATTAAAGTCTGTGCTTAAGTCATTAACATTGAACCAATGGTCACTTTTTAGTTGCTGTTTTTATTTTTATTTATTTATTTTTAGTTGTTTTTGAAGTAATCTCTACACCCAACTTGGGGCTCAAACTCACAACCCTGAGATCAAGAGTTACGTGTTCTTCCGACTAGAGCCACCCAGGCACCCCAGTAATTTCCTTGTTTTGGTAAGTATATCGTGGTTACCTAAAATGTTAACATTGGGGGAAGCTGGTGAAAGGTCTATGGAAGTCTATTATTTTTGCAGCTTTTCCATGTTAAAAAGAAAACCATACAGGCACCTGGCTGGCTCAGTCACTAGAACATGTGACTCTTGATCTCCAGTTTGTGATTTTGAGCCCCACTATGGGTGTAGAGATTACTTAACAAAAATGTTAAAAGAAAAAGAAAACCACAGGCCCAAGATGGCATTACTTAGGGCAAGTCACCAAACCGGGACTTAATACCTAAACTAACCACACTCTCAGTGTCCCTCAGAAATGTAGTCCTAAAATATCGGCAGGAATTTTCTGGTCAGCACCAAAAAGGTAGTCTGTCACATGGGCCTTCTTCATCCCCCAAAGGAAGGTGAATCCAACTAGTAATACCTAAGACACTTTTGTACCCCAATGAAAGTGACCTCACCAATAATCCTTTTTTTTCTGTTTATGACTTCCTTGCCCTGCACTTAAAAACATTTCCCATTCTGTAGCCCTTTGGAGCTCCTCTGTTTACTAGATGGGATGCTGCCCAATTCAAGGATCCTTTAATAAAGCAAATCAGAGTTGAAATTTACTTAGTTGAATTTTGTTTTTTAACATTTGTAAGATTAAAATTACTTCTAAAATACAAATTTAGGAAGAAATCTCTAGTCCTGATAAGGCATAGAAACAGGAAGATGTTCACCTTTAGCCCAGAAGGCTGACCCATAGCCTGTATAGTTCCTTTAAGGATCACATAGAGCTGGTTGCTACATTCTTTTTTTTTTTTTAAGATTTTATTTATTTATTTGAGAGAGAGAGAGACAGTGAGAGAGGGAACACAAGCAGGGGGAGTGGGAGAGGGAGAAGCAGGCTTCCCGCCGAGCAGGGAGCCCGATGCAGGGTTCGATGTGCGGCTCGAACCCAGGACCCTGGGATCGTGACCTGAGCCTAAGGCAGGCACTTAATGACTGAGCCACCCAGGCGCCCCATGGTTGCTACATTCTTAAATGGTCTTGTGACTGCCTGTACACCTCACAGATAGTTAATACCAAGCTGAATGATAAGCACCAGAGAAATCTTGCAAATGTAGTTTATGAGTAGAAATTCAAAGAAGACATTTATGATTTAATACTGCCTGCACATTTTCTCCCCCTTGAGCACTGAGCATATAACCAAGTTTCATACAGCAAAAAATGCAGCTCTTTCTGCCTGCAGATACTGTCCCTGTGCTACTTAAATAAACTTACTAATTGCACCAGAAAATGTATTAAGAATTCTTTCTTTTGTTTTTTTTTTTTTTTAAGATTTTTTATTTATTTATTTGACAGAGAGACACAGCGAGAGAGGGAACACAAGCAGAGGGAGTGGGAGAGGGAGAAGCTGGCCTCCTGCTGAGCAGGGAGCCTGATGCGGGGCTTGATCCCAGGACCCTGGGATCATGACCTGAGCCAAAGGCAGACGCTTAACGACTGAGCCACCCGGGCGCCCCAAGAATTTTTTCTTGACCATAATCCTCAACAATCCCACAACAGTCCTGTAATTATTCATATGCAAATAAATTCACCTTATAGTAAGCAAAAGGTTATATTGAACACTATTGTGATTCAATTTTTGTGAAAAGAGTATAGAAAAAGTGGAAAGGCCAAAATATGGTTTATGATGGGGCAAATCACAAATAAGTGAAGTTTGTTGATAGTGTTGTTTGAGTCCTCTATATACTTATCAATCTCCAACTACTTGTTCTATTAATTACAGAGAGAGGAGTATTAAAGTCTCCAAATATAAATATGGATCTAGTTTTCCTTTAATTGTACCAGTTTTTGCTTCATTTATTTTGGAGTTTTATTATCAGGTACATACATATTTAGGATAGTTATGTCTTCTTCATAAATTTCATCTTTTATCTTTATGTAATGTCCTTTTTTTTTTTTT